CACACCGGCCAGCGAGAGCGAGAAAAGGGACGATTCCGATGCAGGGCCCAGCAGACGGGCGCCGCATCGCGACCAGACTGTGGAGGAGTACGACTGATCTCGAGCGTAGATTGACGCGGTGGGCAAATCGAAAGAGAGCAATGTGCATCCTGATACTTTCGTCTGCCCACTGTTTTTCAGACTCGCGACAAGCAAAGTCAAATCATACCTAGCTCATTTCACCCGGCACACCGGCGGGAATTCTTCGCTGACAGTTCCCAATGAGCTGTCCTCGACCTACCCCGCCCCCGCCTTTAAGAGGCCTCGATCACGGCACTGGACGCTCTCAAGGGCCATGGCTCATCGAAATTGGGGCCCGAAATGCATCAAAACTGATAGCGGGTCACCGCCAGGCACCGTTGGGCGACAGCGAAGCAGCCACATCACCCAACGAAACAAGCTCAGCCCTGCAAGGGACGGCCCGTCCGTGATCAGGGTCCCCGCGGGCCTTTTGACTCTCGGGACCGGGTCTCGCGGTCACGGTCAGGCGGGATGCAGGGGTGGCCCCTGGTATCTGGTCCGACTGGACAGAAGGCTGGCAGAGAGCAGGGGTTATGCAAGTAAAGTGGTGGAGAGGCTACTTTGGGCGCTGAATCTTGATTTCAGCGTGACGTGCGTCTCTGGCGTCATAAGGCCTCGATGGCCCAATCGGCCTGCCATCCAGGCCTCTTTTCTGCCTTGAGAGAATGCGACTGGCTCAAACTCGACTGGGCGGGAACAGGGGCCAGACCTGTCGGCAAGTTTGGCTCCTCAGCACTAACCGGCGGTCGCTGGGACGGCTGGCCTGGTTTGGAACCCATTGCCGTGGCTAGGCAGAATGCTCGTGTTCGTAGGTCGAGGAGGGGAGGAGGGGAGGGTATTTATCGCTTCGATGCCCCTCGCCTTTCGCTGATTCGCATCTTCCCATCGTCCCAACTCCACGTCTTCCATCGACCCCTCGACCGAACTTTGACTGATCGTCTAGCAGAGGATCGCCCCTCAGCGATCGTCAATCCTTTCCACTATTCTTGTTCCCCTTCTCTCCCAAGATCACGGTTCCTCCTTCAGTGTCGGCCTCGGCGTATCTAGATCGCAGAACACTGCAAGCGCTCACCGCATCACAACTCTCAGCCCCAGCAACGACCTAGACGCCGCTTAACCGTCTCAGCCGTCAAAATGGGTGCGTATGAGCTCTTTTTTTACGATGAAAACCTTTGACAACTGACATGCCATGACGCAGCACCTTCACGGGACTACGACTACGCGCGCACTAAGAAGCGCCTGTATCTTGATCCCCCAACCTACGATCGTTCCGTCGTTCGCACTCGTCGAACTACATTCGTCCCCCCGCCGCCGCCGCCCCCCGTCATCTACAGGCCTCCCACGCCGCCTCCTGTTATCTGCAGGCCTGCCACGCCGCCGCCTCCTTTCGTTGTCGAGCCGCCTCCGCCTCCTCCGCCCGTCTGCGAGCCCCTACCGCCACCGCCGCCACCGCCGCCACCCGTCTGCCCCCCCTCCCCAGAGCCGGGCATCGAAGTCATAGCCGTCGACGTCGACCCCGTCGAGAAGAAGCGCCGCCGTCGCAGGTCCCACTCGCGCCACAGCGGGAGTCACTCGCGCGAAGTCTACATTGAGCGCGAGAAGATTGTTCCCGTCCGCGTGCCCGTCCCCGTTCCGCAGCCGCAACAGCCCGAGTACGAAACATTTCGCTACGTCGACGCGCCGAGGCGGTCGCCGCCGCGGATCATGCCTGCGCCGCCAAGAGAAGAGCGCGAAGAGGACCGCATGCGCATCATGATTCACGACAGGCGGCGGGAAAGAGAATACATTGACGATGGGTATCAGGGCAGTGGGAGCGACCGTGGGTACGATCGCGGATATGATCGCGTGCGATACTACTAAGCCTAAGCGCGCTTGTTCTTTTCCTTCTGATAAGCGTTCTAGTTCTTTCTCTGTTGTTTCTAGCGAAGCGCTGTGATTTATAGCGCTGGCACTCGCCTGTACGAATTCATGGATAGAGCGGGAGAATGATCTCTGGCATGGGTTCGGATTAGGCTATGATGACGACCAAATTTACGAAATGTCTACTTCATACTATTCTGAACCATCATTAGTAATACTGCGCCGAATCAAGAAATGCACGACCTGGCCTCGACGAGATCCCCATCACCTGTTCCTCCTCCCATGTGACTGACCCCAGAATGCTACCCAACACACAAACCATATTACGACCACCACGAGATCCAACCGTCAGTCGACTCGATCGCCTAATTATCCAGCCGTCAGCTCCTCTGATCATCACCGAACCCATCAAACGTCAAGTGTCGCGCTCGTCATCCGCCTGCCTCGCCATTCGTCGCAGCGGCACGCCCTCCTCCTCAACCCTCAGCATCCGCCCCAGTCCATCTCTATTGTCCACGAGCCTCACCATCCTCTCCCTCGCCATGTCTTCCATATGCGACAAGTCCATCATCACCGCCACTTCGCTCTCCGGGAGCTTCAAGCTCTGAAGCACCAGCGGCAGCTGCGCGTTCTTCCACCGCTTCTCCCGCCTCGTCCGCCACGCACGACGATGCAGAAGACGGCGCTGAGAAGGAGCAGGGAGCCAGGGTACATGGTGTAGCGAAGGTTCACGACGTAGTGAACCACGCGGCGGTGGACGGTGCCCAAGGCCTGCTGCGAATCGGAGCCTGTAGCACGAATCGCACTGGGTCGTGAAGTAGGCCATGTTACTGACATACGCATTCGAAACGGATGCGAGAGGGCCGGAGAGATCATCAGGTTTGAGATCCCCCGCGACAGTCTCCCCCTCGGCGATTTTCGGGTGCGTAGCCCAGGCTGTAAGCCAGGACCCATAAAGCATCTCAGTGAAGGTGTCGTCGAAGATCATAAGTGTGTTTTCGGACCCATCAAGCGAGATGCCTACTGATTCGGAAGGGTACGGGACCAGTGAGTTTGCCAGGCCAAGGCTGGCTTTGTTGGAAACGCGATATGTGCACTCGCCTTCTTCGCTTACTTCTTCTGCTGTGATGTTCGAATTGCACGGCCATGGAGCGTGGAGCAACAGGTCGTCATCATCTAACAACGGCACATCTTAGGGGTGATCGTATGACGTTTCGAGTACGTCATGATACTGAAGATGGTTGTTTTGCAACGTGACACTCTTATGCCTATGTGCCATCCAGTAGAGTATGCACTCGACTGCCTCAAATGTCGTAGCGTTACCAATGATGTTGCCAATGGCAGCAAAGTGCAGCAAGACTGGCCCAAGCCGCATGTTGGGTGCTGCAAATTGAGAGCCCTGCGACACTGAAGATGACGCCTGCATGGAAAGGACGATTCAGTCAACGTCTTCAGGATGTCTAGAGTCCTTTGCACTTGTTGTGATATTTAGCGAGGTTGAGTTGGCAAAATGGTCAGAGGAGTGAATACGGCGACAAGGCCCTCCCATCGTATGCACAGTCTGGACCGGGCATGGGAGTCTCGCTTCATTGCATTTGGAAGCCACAACAAGACCAAATTCCGAAGCCCTCCTTACTTCCTTGAGGTCAGTCATCCAGAGCTTTGTACTCATCTGCGGAATATCATACCACGCACGTGAAGCCCCTCGACAAGTATCCAGCCCGAAGAGTCTGTCGGTTTCTGGCATCCCTCTTTTTTTCAGCCGCATTTCCGCACCCTCGCAAGGTGGGGTTTAGCAGGGGAACATACTGTAGCTAGATAAGGCAGCTAATCATCTATGTTGATGAACCGCCAGCCTGGGGCACATCATCCAACAATTCTGCGCAAGAAGCGGAAGGTCAAGGTTGTACTCGCTGGGCCGCTTGCCTCCGCTTTTGAAGAACACCGAATCCCTTGAATTATGTCCAGGGCTGGTCCACAAACTCATGTCGTCTTGTTTGACTTGTTGAGCTCCCCTATTGTCCAACGTGGTTCGGGCTTCGATGGGGGGCAGTGCCCGGACCCGGTTATTTCAAGAAAACACGAACACGATTTGGCGTGCCGAGCAGTGAAGTTGTCCGCTTAGCTACAAGGCCCTTCAAGACGATGAATACAGCATGCCCGAGGCCGTGCTCGACTAAAATCACTCAGAGATGTTGTCCATTGCCTCGGGGGATGTCTGCATCCCAAGACTTCGGCGCCAGAGAGAAAGTCGGTCGTGGTCTCCAAGCTCGCCATAGGCAATGCCAGCGAAAAGGTGTCAGCTCGTGTCGACGTAAGCCGCCTCGCCCTCTCACCCCCGCCCAAACACAAACACATGCATAACCATGTTCTGTGTTGCTCTACTATCCATGACCAAGGGAGGCCTTTAGAACTAAATCTCGACCAACTTCCGAACCTTGGCACCGAAATTGGGTACCGAAGTAACCCATTCAGACTGCTGTAGTCTATCTCCGACGTAAAAATACTATCAAGAACGTGTAGATCCATGGGAAGTCCAATTATTCAAAGCAGTGGTATATGGGACACCACCCGTAGAGTGGTTCAACTTATGGTCGGCTAGTATCAGATAAATGAGGATACCAGTCTCATCTCCTACATGAATAGATAATGAATTATCATCTCCTCAAAAAAGATGTACACAAAGACGGGGCATATACTGTCGGTGATATGCGGGTCTACAGTTGGCGAACCATGCGCCAGTGGCGTCTCATCCCGGCTGAAGCCCATCGCGTGTTCCTCTCTAAATGGAGAGGCTTCGGAGCTTGTGCTGGGTAATAGGCTACTGAGTAATGGATGGATGTGGTGCTATCGCCTGCAAAGACCAGGATTTCTCGGCTTCATGGGAATGGATACAGAAGAAGAAACTTGGGGGCGGTACCCTCTCCGCTCCCTCACCCATCACTTAGCGCACATCAATCGTTACGTATTTATCGACGCCAGGCAGTTCTTAGGCCATGAGCGATACGGAAAACGACTGCAGCATTGAGCATGCAAGGGCGGGGATCTGACGCAAGGACTGAAAAGTTTTCAGGAGAGAGAGATGTCCAAGAGTGCTTGTCCTTTTTACTCAACGTCGTCGAGAAATGCATCCTAGGCGTACCGTCACTGGAGGAACGACGTCACTGGACCTGCCGAGTGAAACTTAGATCGTGCTGATGGACAACAATGCCGGCCACCTGCGAAGTGAGCCCAATTTGGTTCTTGCTTCTTTCTGTACACCAGGAAGTGGAAATTAATCGCCAGGCTTCGAGAAAGTCAGGTAGTTTACTGCAAATGCGGGGAGAAATAATCATATTACTAGCCTTTTCGTCTGCTCAATATAATCTGCAATCTCAATTCCTATCTTTCCTCAGAACACAGCATCTGACCTACCTCGAGGCTAGACGCGCCGATGTGCTTCAGACAAGATGAGCCAAATCACACCACACCGCCCTCGCAAGTTGTTTCGTATGAGCCCAGTCGTATCATACCGCCCTCACAAGTTGCATCCTGACTGCCAATACGCGTTTTCGTCAGAAGTAACAAAGTATGTCAAACAACCCATCAAAGATGATCCCATAGGATGCGTACTTCAGCACATCTTCTTGAATCAAGATGATCATGTCACCAAGGTATGTCCAGTGTCCCAATTCACGATCGCAACACTGCCCCGAACGCTCACGATGAGCGATTGCACTGTTCTGATATCTTACACCTGCTGCAGACTATCGCAAGTCGTCCCCACGTCCAGGCCGGAGATCTGTACCCAGAACGCAGCATCACACAAGTGATTCCTGCGCAACGACGTACATCGTCGATGATAGTCTACACGGGCCAGCAGATCGACAACAGAAGCCAGTACCGGAAGTTAACAAGTGGATTTGACGATTTCGTTTCCAAAATAGAAGACTCATCAGCCATGCAGGAAATTCCAAAGCCGCCGGGACTCGGTACCCAAGTTGTCAAAGGTCTCCAACAGCCACTCACACCACCGACGGCCAAATCGGAACATAAACACTCAGAAGCAGCCTCGTCTGCGACTTTGGGGTCTCTTCAGATTGAAGACGACGGCTGCCCTTCTGTCATAGATGATGATTTCTCTCAGGATGGAGACACGGGGGGTCGCTCGCTACGGTCCTACGAAAGGTCTACAAGAACGATCTTAAGTTTGCTGAGAAGTTGATTGCGTCGATACAGCAGCTTCCAGTACGTGAGCAACGGTTTCTAGAAGCCCCCGGTGACTTCACACTCCAGAGCACATCACCAATCGATGATTCGGTAACAGAGACCGATGAGGTTTCGGATGCCGAGGCCTCAGGATCCGTCTATCATGGCACACCACACACTGACGGTCAGAGCCGTCACCCCTGTAACGACTTGGAAGAGACGCCCACCTCGTTGCAACCAGCCGATTCCGGCAAAGACACATCCTCAGCTGGCCCTAAAAGGCCTCGAAATACAGACGATCTTCATAGCAGGAAGCGTCAGAAACAATCTGGGAAAGGCGAGGAGAGGGCCGGCAACAGCAAGGAGAGGGCGGCTGGCAACAGCAAGGAGAGGGCTGGCAACAGCGAGGAGAGGGCTGGCAACAGCGAGGGCGAGGGCGACGGCAATGAGGCTACTTCAGAAACCTCAGGGAAGCACAAAACGCCCGCAGAGGATCTGCCATGGCCTTGCCCTTATTACTGGAAATTTTCTAGAGGCGAGAGACAAACCGTGAGCTCTGCCTGCTATCCCAGGGGAAATCGACCGCGATATATATGGAGGTAAGTTTGGTCTCCCATGCCAGAGCTCGCTGGCTGTTGTACAATTCAGGAGAGTAAGCGTCTGGTAATTAATCCCACTAACAGGCTGCTACAGGGAACACCTTCAATCTATTCATACAACCCAGGAAAAGAGTGGTTCGTCGAAACACATCATGGAAAATAAACAGTGGTCCGAGGTCGAATTAGCCATCAAACAAGCCGCCAGAAAGCGTCCTCGGGTGCCCGAACGGTGACTTGCTTGGGCCGAAGAACTCTGGAAAAAAGTGTACACTATCCTGTTTCCCGACTCTGATCCGCCAGATCATCCTTGTAAGAACCCGACACTGCCGAGTCCTCATCCCTTTACTAAAACAAAGCGTCAGTTGAAGCCCATATCTCGATTGAAGCTATCGGATACGCGATCACCTCTCATGAGATGAGAATTCATGACGAAATAGTATCCGCCACCGCACAGGAAACAGTCAACGAGAAGCCTCACCCTTTAGGGAAAGCGTCCGCAGCCGAGCTGCTACCCTCGCCAGCGTCGTCGAGTCGGGCCATGTTCGAAAAGGCTATCACCATCAGCACACAGAAGGTGCTACGTGACTTTTTGCCGTATCTGTTTGACACTGCACACGCTGGCAAGATCCCAGCTTCAACAGGCACTTCAGCGAGGGCAGAAGAAGACTTACCACCCGAGCCAAAGATGTCGGAGGACAAGTTTACAGTATCAGGGGAAATGACGAAAGTCGTCCTGATGCTCAAAAGACTGGCCGATGGACCTGGCCAAGAGCTATCCCATGACGTCAGAATCGTCCACAGTCCCTCGGTAAGGATGATGTCCATGGCGGTAGAAAACCTCGATCTCCTGACCACAGCCTCAATACCCCTTCCCGGACAAGTAACTGCTGTTGCGCCAACCACGGATGCAGCGTTCCAGCATCTTGGAACCCATCTAATCCCATCACAAAGCTTTCTCATGGATGTTCCGAACGAGCACATTGAGCAGGCAAATTATGGAGAGGTATCGCAGTCTACTCTTCCACAGCCTGACACCATAGCGCCAGAACTTCTTCATCGCAGTTCTGGGACCCTTGAAAGTACGGGAGGGTCTATGAATATAGTTGACTTTGGCGGTGGTCTCTTCGACTTTTCCCTTGGCGGAGGGCCAAGCTGAGAAGAGCAAAATCACGCCGTGTATGGCTTCCCAGGACCATGCCGGCTGCCTATATTGACAAAGACATACAATGTGTCTCGAGGACCGGACGATATCCGGGCTGGCTGTTCGGATCTTCACTGGAGTCCTGCCCTCGGTCGTATGATTCGCCCTTGAACCGCCAGCCGGATTATTTCCACACATATCCTCCCCTTGCGTCACTGCAAGGTCACACTACGACGTCCGTGAGTCGGGTGCGTCTCGTCCGAAGGAACCCCGCCCAGCCCTATCATCCCATTCGGCGGTTGACTTTTCTGTCGGCCACGCGCGTCCGTTCTTAGGTTCATACTCCTTCACAAGGTGAAGGTGCATAGAAAGCCAAAATAGATAGAATATAGTGCCGCGTCAGGAAGAAGGCTCCTTGTTTGCCTGGGCTGTCGAGTCATTGTTATTCCTTTTGGCTGAGACGTTCACCGTGGAGGCGGGGCGGAGGTCGTGAGTCGTCGGAAGGAGCAAGATGAAACGTGGTCGCGACACGCACATCCCTGGGGGGAAGGGGGGGGGGGGTCAGATGGAATCGTCGTTGGCTGGTAAATGTTGTGTTTCGGCCCATGTTCTATAGATCTGGGAAGGGCTTGAGGGGAGATTCTGGATCTTGCGTTGGCTTTGGAGAAGCTTCTTTCGGTTTGATCTCTTTACAACACCGGCATGTGCCATTGCCGGCTTTTGGATACGACGACGGTTGCCTCAGCGCAGATGGATCCCCAAGCATGGTGTGCACTCGCCGAGTGTAACATCTCAGAAAGCGGCGCGAGCATGGTGTCAGGAGTACTTAATGCTTGTCAATTCATTCAACACATCATGATATTCCTGTATAATTCTTTCACGGAATGCATTCCTGAGAAACAAGGAGGGTAGCACCCAAACCATCGGGGCCGGGCGTTGAGCACTGACATATGCCAAACCATCAGGAAAACGCGGGGCCAAATAAGATCCAAGTATCACACTAAGTTCGTCGGACAATGACGCGACGAAATGCACTCTCAGAAGTGAGCACGATCAGGATTGGTCTCGGCTGGTCGACGCGTGGACTTGTCTTGGGTCGCTGTGATGCCTGGGCACAGGGTATGGGACGAGGGCTCGGGACGAGCATAGCGGCATCTCGCCTTAGATTGTGTTCACTCGCGATGCATCAGCCAGCGCCTGACAAGCAAAAATCAGACCTGTGCACGCCGCCATATTCTGCATTCAATTCTCAAGCCTGGCCTCATTCCGAGCACAGAGGCGGTCAAGGTGGGCGTCCTTTTTGAACTCAATAAGAGCTATTGGCACAAACCAAGGCTGATTTCCGTAGTGTCGAAAAATTACCTGGGGGTTGCTGATCGTTTCAAACGGCCATGGGCAATACATGGTGGAAGTAAACCGCGGGGCCATGGCCATCGTTGGTTGGCGCTTGTCTGAGGTGTCGCAATAGATATCGTAGATCTCGCTTCAGGGGCGGTGGGGTGATCCGATCGTGACTGTCATCTTCCTCACGTTCAGCCTGGTTAGAGCGGACTGGTCAGCAGGCGTGAAAAGCGCTACAGGCGGTTGCTGACCCCATTTCGACAAGCAGTGTGGCGGCGGCTATCGATAGCCAAGCTGCCAGTCAGCAAGGGTCCCAAGACCCAATGGTTGCAGAGGCGCCCGGATTGACCAGGTTGGCCGTGGTCGAGGCGTCAGAAGAAAAGGGGTTCCTCAAGAATGCGGGGCGAGAGGCGTCCGTGTGTTCCTGGGTTTCTTTTCCTGTCCAGGCCGCTGCCTCCTTTGTGGCTCACTAGCAGAACTGGCACAAGAGAAAGAAAACGGCCTCCACCACCGGCGGGTCCATTCTAACATTGCGACCCTCGTAATGATTTCGAAAGCGACACAGGCGCGGACGTAGCCTCCGTTGGAGTGGACACAATTTCTCAGACTTCACAAGAGCTTTCCTTCGAGGTTGAACAAATAGACTCTGCTGGTCTGAACGGCCCGAACGAGCGGAACCCCCTTTTTCATCAGACGTGAAGGAGCGCCCGTTTCGTAGGTCGATACAGGGTGATTGAAATTCGACTCCCGCTAGCTCGTGCAGCCAACGTGGGATGGCACTGACGATCATTCTCCACGGCACAGACAGCCCCAAGCCGAACGCGGCCGCTGCAGATGCCGGATGAACCCAAAGACGGAGGAAAGTGCAGGAAAGAGGCCGTGATGGGCGAACAACAGGTCCGTTGTTCTTCGGCTGGGCGGTCACACCGCCTTGGGTTTCAGTGAGACGCTGTGTTGGAGGGTGGAATCAGAA